CTCGAACGTCTCAACGCTATTTATCCACTTTTCCTCGCGATCGCTGTGATTCTTTTATCCGAGGAGGATTCTTCTTCTGCCCGATAACGCCGTTGTGCTCTCTTTTTGGAAGCTGACGCGACGACGGGACTTTCTCGACGATGGTAGACCGGAAGTGGGTACCAGACGTTCATAGCCGCGACGAGAGGGTTAACTACAGTGGGTGTAGAAAGTATTCGTACAATGATCATTTTCCCAAAAAACTATGTAAAATTGTTATTTATTAAGGCGTCTGGCCACCCTGAGCGCTCGCCAGATGGGTACTATTCTTACAAAATTCATAAATGCGAAAGTGTAGAAAAAAATATTTTTATGTTTTGACACATACTAAAGAACGGTTTAATAAACACATGAAAAATTGTTTGAGATAAGGCCTTCGGCACGAAACGCGCGTGGGCTGTACCATCATTATATTCTTTAGGTTGCATGTGAAAAAGAAAAAAAAAATATTAGATTATTTCTGGAGTTTGTCGCAAGAGAGTAGCAATTAGATTTTTTTTACTATTAAGAAAATTATGGCGAGCCAAAGAAATTTTTTTGTTATTTTTCACTGAAATTTCACGAGAAAAATCGTCAATAAAAAAAAAAACTAATCAATGTACCTAAAAGTAGCGTGTACAAATTTTAGAGCAATCGGACCGATAGTTTACGAGATTTACGTTGTAAAAATTTCGAAAAATGTAGTTTCAAGATAATCCCAAAAGAAAGTAAACGTGCGGTCCGATTGCTCTGAAATTTGTACACACTATTTAGATACATTATCTGAAGAATATCAATGGATTTTTGCGATTACTTGATTAATTTTTTAATTAATTTTTTTTTGTTTATTTTTTATAAACAATGACATTTTACATATTCTCGGAAATCTCTAAAATAGATAGAGTACAAAAAAAATAGCTATTTATGTAAGTTACGAAATTAACAAGAAAAAAACAATTAATCGATAGAAATGTTGAAGCAATAAGTATTAGATTATAAAAAAATAAATTAAGAAACTACAATTTCGCACAAAAGTTTTTTGTGAATTGATCGGTGTACGAATACAATCTACACCCACTGCATGTAATGTCGGAAAATTAATAGTTCAGGAGATATTTCAATTTAAATAATTTAAATTCTTAAGGCATTATTACTGCCGCACTATGAAGTTCTGTAAATAAACGCTAACGTCTTAGTACAACAGTAATGGTGTTGTAGAATTATTTAAATTGAAATATCTCCTGAACTACTAATTTTTCAACATTACATAGATAGTACTTTTTTATAACGATTGTCCAACTGAATCGATTGATGTATCAAAAAATACCTCATTCCATTTAAAAAAAAAACAAAATTGACCTTTATATGACCTTTACGCGTCCATTCACGGAAAAACTAATAACATCAGAATATGCTCCATTCGATACCATTCAAGCCTCCGCTGAAACATTTTTTTTTACGAGTAACAATACCGAGAAAAACAAGATGTCAAAATCGAGCGAGACACCCTGTATAGTTCCACTTGAAAAACGAAACTTGACCATCATATCTCGTTAAATAACAAAATTAAAAGAAATTCCTTCTCGCTGAAACATGAGCTCTATTTTACCATGCAATTTCCATATTTGAAATTTTCCATTCGGCCGATAGTTTTGGAGTTAGAGCTCCGTATCACTTAGACTGGGACACCCTGTAGATGGAAGGTTCTGGGATACTTGGTCAGAGCGATACTTCATTCCAGTGTCAAGAATAGAGACATACACCCTCGTTCATAAATACCGTCGGTGTAATAAGTATTCGTACAGCAACCAATTTAAAATAAAATTAATAATTTAATTTACGCAAATTCTATTCTAAAAATATGTAGTGTTACGAGCCAGGGCGATAGCGACGCGCGTGTGAGCCCAGCGAGTGGGGTAGATTTGAGAATTGAACCAATACGATTAATTATTGTGTATCAATGGTGCCGAAGGCTGAGGATAGATTAGACAATGCAGACGACTCTGACGTGAAGTCAGATAGTTGCAGGAATCGGTATCTGCCAGTAAAGGGTAACCGTAGGTTAGGGTGTTTGGTTGTTGGTTATTGGAGACAAATGCAGACGCCTCGGACGTTAAGTCAGATAGCTGCAGGAATCGGTATCTGCCAGTTAAGGGTAACCGTAGGGTAAGGTTCCAATTGTGAAGTTGTTGGAAAAAGTGCAGCGACTCTGGCACGAAGTCAGATAGCTAGCAGGAATCGGTAACTCCCAGTAAAGGGTAACCGCAGGATAGGTTGAATTAGGGAATTCGGGTTGAATACACTGAGCTTAAATTGTATCGTTGATGAATACTACGCGTCGCGGATAGAGCCTCGCAACTTATTAATTTAATTGAATAATAACTCGAGCGGCAAAGTTATTATGTTGTGGGATCGTTACACAGGCTAGGATTGCTTGTTATATCGTGAAGGTTTAGTAATTGACTTAGGAAACTTTGAATTTACACAAAAGAATATATATATTCAGAATAACTATACTAAGTTACAAATGTGCAGTGTTGTGTTGTCGCGGTCGTGTGTAGTAAACGTTGAATTTAATTACCTAATTGTTGCACTGGCGATGCAGGGGTCGAATGTGATTCTAAATGCCGTAATAGATGAAAACCGTCTTCGCGGATCTATAAGGTTAACTTGATCGAAAGGGAAACTGAAGCCCGATCTCACTAAAGCACACTCTGCAACGATGGACGTGATGTGACCCTACGTAACTCTATCGTTCTACTTCCCCGAGCAACGAAAATCGTGGGTTTATGTACCCCTAAATGTTGGTGGGGATCCGTCGGTGATTTCCATATTTGGAAATCTGACGGTTAGGATTTTCGTGGCTCTGAGGTGAGCAGCTGCGTTCCCTGGGAAAGGATAGATAAGAAGTCTTCCCACGCAACGCAAGTCGAAGATGATGTTAAGAGTATGCAGCTGCAGGATGCACTCCAGGGAGACCGAGCTCCAAATTCCAGGAGGGTAGATAAAATAAAATTGATGAACGCGAGCTTCGGAAACAAACAGCGAGTTTCTGTATACGTAACAGTAGGAACGTTGGTTAATTATTTTTTCCTCTAAAATTTGTTAATAAAATAAATACATGAAACTTTATTTTGAATTGGTCTCTGTTCGAATACTTATTACACTGACTGTATGTGAACACTTACTACCTTCAATGAATAATTAATATACACCATACATTATTACTACGCAATTTTTATTATTAAATTCTATATTGGATGTGTTAACTTAACAACATTTAATAATATTGAATGTTTCGAATGCTATATTCAATTTTATAGAGTACCTATGAGATCGTTTAGATAGAAAAGATCATAAAGAATGTTCGATATATCAAAAACATTTTTGGCGAAATATTACAAAATAAATGAAATAATATTACTTCGGATATAGCGAAGAAATTAATAGCATCCAAGTTTGGTGAAAGGAATTTTAACGTTATACAGGGTGTCCCAAAAGTCGGGAAGAAGCCGGAAATGGGGGGTAGCTAAGACGATTCTGAACAACAATTTCCTTTGCAAAAATGTCGGATGGGGCTTCGTTAAGGAGATATTAAGAGAAAACCCCGACCAATCAGAGCGCGCGTAGACCGTTGGAGCGGCCGCGGTAGCGAAGGTCGATGCTTCGATGCACGTCGAGTCACTTGTTCGCGTACAAGCGCGGCCGCCAGCGCGTAGCCTTCGCTACCGCGGCCGCTCCAACGGTCTACACGCGCTCTGATTGGTCGTGGTTTTCTCTTAATATCTCCTTAACGAAGCCCCATCCGACATTTTTGCAAAGGAAATTGTTGTTCAGAATCGTCTCAGCTACCCCCCGTTTCCGGCTCCTCCCCGACTTTTGGGACACCCTGTATGTATGTTATGTTTTAATGTCATATTAAAAAAATTATTAACAAAATATATTTGCTAATGCAACACAAACATACCGAAACATAATTGCTATAATTGATATCAATCGATTCGCAACTTTTATTAGATATTTATTTCTATTAAGGAACTGTCCACATACTTCTGAGCGGGGGTGTATGAGTCGTTCATTGCACAAATCGATGAACTCCATAAAACAAAAAGTTGAGAAATGCGATGGAACAATGTACACTTTTTTTTATAATTCCCTTAATAATGTAAATTTAAATAAATACTGAAAAAAGTTCTTTCCTTTTCAGAAAAATTATTATAAATATAACAAGTTATAATTATACCAAGTGCTTTGACATTTAAATTTAAGATTTTACTAAAATATTTCAATAAAATCAATTTTAATGAATACCTCGATTTTCGTAAAATACCTTAAAATAAGAGGAATAGCATCGTTTACGTTTATCAAAAATTATTATCAGATAAATTGCGAGTTAATGGAATATGTCGAAAAAGTTTGGCAAAGCCATGGCCCGTGGATTTGGGATCGCCAAAGAGATTATTTTTCCAGCCGGCAAAAATCAAACCTAATTGAAAAACGTCGAGTTCGTTTATCAAGCGAATTAGCCCGTGCCAGGGAATTTACGTATCGGATCGATTCACGAGGATGCTTGCGTGCCTGGTTGTAATCCGAGTAAACTGTGTAGTTTTTCAAAGCTTGACCGAAAAAATTCGCGTCCCGATTGCTGGTTGAATCGCGAAAATGCGGTGGGAAATTCGAACGCGTTGCACATGAGACCGAGGAATTCAATCAGCATGAACTGTACCCCGTGTTACTGGAAACTGTACACCTGATCAGATTATGAACACCACTGGAGCGAATTCGACATCGATACGACATCCATAGGGATTTCTGTTGAAGCCCATCGTGAAATGTGTAAATATTTCGGAAACAAACATTATTTAAATTGATACCGACATTTCCGGGGCTTCATTGGCATCTGTGTTTGTTATTTAAAGAACACAAGGAATTGTAATTGAATGATGCGATGATAACACGAGTATTTTCGTGTTCTGTTTCAGGTTCTGCACATAATAAACGAAGTTCTGGAGCCAGTTCGCCCGAATTCCGCGGAAATACCGATTTACAGCCCAAACGCCTTCGAATTCCTGAACCAAAGTGAAAACCTCGATTTGGGTTCACACCGAGTTCGGTAAGCAACAATTTTGGGCCCGATTAACGATTTCTCTAAACCATTTTTCTCACAAATGTTCCATTTTGGAAATATTTGGACCAGCAATAGTAATGTATGTATATAAATTATTTTATGTCCGTTTAGTTATTCGCTCATAAATTTATATTCTCCCATCTGGATTGCGTTATTGAGTTAAGTTTTCTTAAAAAAAACTAAAAAACTACTGGACCGAATTAGCACAAAATCTAATCAGCTCTAAGTTAGATTGATACACATCGATTGCATCCTCGATGATTTTGATCTCGCTATTAGTTTTTTAGAAAACGTTAACGAAAAATTTGTTTACATACGTACATACATATGCACATACACACACACACGCGCGCGCGCGCGAAAAATTTGTTAATAATAGACTAAAATTACTCCAATGACCTTGAAACATGAAGATCTGCTAAAAAATCGATTTTTCATTTTAGGGGCAAATACAATAATTTCCCTGTAAATCGGGCAGTTAAAAAAATATATACATTTCGAATTGAGTAACCTCCTCCTTTTCGAAGTTGTTTAAAAATATAATTTCAATAGCACCTATACATATAAAACGTTGCATTCTATATCAATATTTTGCAATTGAATCTTTTAACAAACCAAGCCCTGTTAATAATATCGTCACAGTTACCAATTACGCGGCACTTTTTTTCTAACAATGTCTTCTTGTTCAATGCACCTCGAAACGAGTGATTGCACGACTGCATTGTCCACCGAGCCATCCCGATCGGAACACAATCACGCATTGACAAACAATCACGCTTTGATTGCACGTCATATTCGAAAACTTCAGCAAAACAAGCGCGCGTTTATCGAAAACTATTGTCAGACATCGCGTCTTTGTTTTACCATCAGCTAGTGCGAGGCATATCTCGAGTCACGGATTTTTATTGTACAGGGTGTTTCCAAATCTAATCGTCAAATTGGGGCGCCGGTGAACGAATAACGCAAGACTCGATACCTCGGCCAATATCGATTCTATCGGAAATTTTCATGGAACAAAAACATTTTCCATGTAACATTTATTATGTACGTTTTTGTTGTAACTGTAACGATAAATGGTTTTGCGCCACTTGTCCTCGTAGACTGTAAACAGGGAGCTTTGAGTCGATATTTCGGTAACTATCGATTCTATCGAAATATTGTACAGAACTAAACAATTTTTAAATTTAACTTGCAATAACTTTTGTTATATTTGTTTTTCTCGTAAAAGCAACAATAAACGAGATGTTGCTTACGAATTCTTGAATTCATTTCTCATATTTTTGATAGACGTTTTCGGTACTTCTCACGTAAACGGGGCTTTTCTTCGCAACATCCATCAAAGAGAAAAAATTGGAACGAAGAGAGCGTACCGTACACTCAGCTCGTTGCAATTTCTACAACTGTCTACGTTTATTCAGTCGGCGCTAATGCTACGTGATACTTCTTAGTACTTATCAGGAACAGTTTTTTCTTCTCGTAACTCCTAAGTAAAATTTACTCGCCAGGTCCAGTCACGTTCGCCCAGCAAGATGAAGATAGAACCAACTTCCGTAGTTGTTCCCGGGGAACTTCGACGCTCACTTTGTCAAGTCTTTATCGATGTTTAAAGGCACGGGCGGCCCGTGGAGCTTGCCATCTGAGCAAGTAAAACTTGAGTGAATTAGCCTCGTTCCTCCGAAACTTCTTTAAGCTTTGCTGCATTTCATTTACTGTCCCGAACGAACGCCGTTCTCGGTTGTTCCGACGCGATGTAAAGCATCGAGGTTTAGGAACTTCTTTAATATACTTCCATAGCAATTTTTTAATATAACATTCCCACGAGGGTACGCCATCTTTATAACATCCGGCAGTAAACTCCATTTTCTCGAGGTTCACGCGGTCTGGACATTTTTGTATTTTGTTATTCGTTAGATATTTGTAAAATACTTTGTTTGCTATTTCTTTACAGTAACTAAAGCATTGAAACTATGAATAAATTTACTCGATGCTTGAAACATCGCACGATGGTAGTTTATAGATTTTTGGAAAATTTGATATGTAGTCGACTATCAGCACGATCGACATTTAAAAATAGTTTAAAAAATGCACGTACATATATAGGCAGTGCCGGGGCAAGGCAGGTTCACCGCATTCGTCGGAACCCGGCCCCGCGTTTTAAAGGCCCCGCGGTCTACGAAAATGACTGAATTAAAAGGCATCGATTTTGATTAACTTTTTACAGACTGATAATACAACAAATGGAAGCAATTTTTTCTGAGATGCAAGACATTTTTTCAGTAGCGATGATTAAATTGAAAGGAGTGACAAAAATCATCAAAGTATTATTATTTAATATTCATCTTATACAAGATATATAGCATTTGTAAATAAATAATTCCTCGTTGTAAAATGTAAGTATAGGATTTGAATGTGAATTCAGGCCCCGCAAAATTTTTGAACCCGGACCGCAAAAGGTCACGCCGGCCCTGTATATAGGAGAGGTCACCTGATAATAATTAAATAAATTAATAACGATATGTATTTATATATTGGTCCTACATTTTTCGACATCAAGAAAGAATCAAGCTCGAATTGATCAAATGTAGTGTACGAGGCTCTTGGCAGAGGCAAGCGTGATGAATGAAAGTGGCAAATTCGATTAACGCTTTAAATTTTGTTGCAGGACCTTCCGACAGCGGGTCGTCAAGGAAAAGAAAGAGGAGGTATTCAAGGCGGATGGACGTTACACCTTTCTTATCCCTGTTGAGTTGGGTTTCAAGGTAAGCTGCTTAGCAACCTACTCGTATCGATCATCCCGAAAGTACCTTAATATCGTCCGTTGCGAAGCCTTCAAAAGATCCAGACGAGGGCGATGCGTTCCTCTCGGTCATGGATGGCGACAAATTCTGATCGATTTCACTCGAGAACCAAAAATTCGAGTTACCTCGCTCACCCATTAAATCACCTCTTGATACTTAGCATATGGAACTAAACCTTTCATTTCTCACAGTATAAATTTCCATAGTGCATAATACTAATTGAAACCTTGCAATTTTATTTATAAATAAATGTTTCTTGAAGTCTAAAACAATCCACTTTCTAATTACTATAGTTACAAAAATAGCGTCTCCCTTTAAAAATTAAAATTATTATTATTAAATCCACCCATAATACCTTCCTTTATAAACGATATAATAGAAATTTTACGATAGTCGACGACTTCCAACGCATTGCGCACAATTTTCCACGGTGGAAAACCGGAAATTATTCGCAGCTCCGTTACGCTCGCGTCAGAATGTCACGCTGCATCGTCGAGATATCAGATACGGGCTCGTGCCTCGATCATAGACCGTCTTGCCGGACTGTTATAAAAGGGAAGACCGGAATCGAGTTTCGGGCCTGAAAAGGCTCGTTCCGTTCACGTCGGGAACGATCGAACCGTATCGAAAAGCACTCGACGCCGTGGCTCGCCGTCGGAGCTTTTCCAACCGAACGACATCGATGCCTCAATGCCCGGGACGTAAGGAACCGGGCTGCTTTCTTCGCTCGAATGTAAGGTCGTCAATGTGGCCATTACGGCTGCGGAACAGGAAGAAAGAACGGGTCGAATTAATAACGGAGGGCGAAATCGCCGCTGGCGAATGGCTTTTGTGTTTTTAGAAAACGAAGCTCCGATGGAGAAAGCTCCGAAGGAAAGTCAATGGGGGAAAACGCGGAACAAGGAAATGTTATCGAGCACTTGATACCTTTGGAAGGAACAGATCACGAGTTTGAGAGGGAATACACAGGGTGTCCCAGCATCGGTGGTACAATTGAGGTGGGAGTGATTCTACATAAAACAACAAATCGAAAATAAAGAATAAAATTTGTTCATTTGATGTTTCGTTCTCGAGAAAATTGGTTTTGAATATTCAGCGAGTACACGTACACGTAACTATGGTTTAGATGGATGGATCCCGATACAAGTCATATGTATGTTTACGCATGTGACACTTATAAGTAGTACTCATATCATTAGTATCAAGATGATGCGATGTATTACTCATTTCTGTCTACGGATGTAGAGTGAATTTAAAGTCTGTATTGAGATCCATCTATCCAAGCCATAGTCAAGTGTACCCACCCGTGCTCGCTTAATATTCAAAACCGATTTTCTCGAGAACGAAACCTCAAACGAAAAAATTGTATCCCTTATTTTCGATTTGTTTTTTCATATAGAATCACCTCCTTTTCGGTTGTACCACCGATGCTGGGTAACCCTGGGTATTGGTACGATATAATCGTAGAGTGAAGATTTTACTTGGTTCATTTCTAAATAAAAATAACCCTTGTGTTTATAAAAGTATAGTAACTGACGTTCGCGAAAGCCACCGTCAGTCATTAGAACAACGACACGTGGTGTATTTTAAAACGTGCGAAAGAAAATTGAGCTACGATATGAAGAGGTGCAAGCTATACTATGAAATTTTTGAAGGTCAACTAAGGTCATTTATGAAGAAGTGTGCCTATAGAAGTCAGTTTCAGTAGACTGCGGATCTTTATGCAAAATAAAATCTTCGCAAACGTGCCTAGAAAAATTGAAGCTATATAGGAATTTATTTTATTCTGCAAATATTATAACATGAACTTTACTTTCAATCTTTTTTATATTCATGCACATTGTTTGCATTTTGTAGGTTCTCGCACATTTAAATTTCCTATAAATGCATGAAGATCCGCAGTCTAATGATCAGTAACGATTTGATATTACACGATCTCAGAAATGAAGGGAAAAAATGAATGTATATAAAGGGAGGAGCAAGCTACAGTACGAGGTTTTCGAAGGTCAATTGAGGTCAGTCATGAAAAAGACTGTTTATATTAGGTGGACTGGAAAGTAATGTCGTTTCTTTTACATTGAATTCAAACAAATTTTTTATAAATTTCTATTTTTAATTATTAATTGTATAATCGCTCCCGTTATTAATAGCCTTTTACCATCTAGTGTGCAAATTGCCAATGCCAGATCGATAAAAATCAACGAGCTGATGAACGATAAACAAGTATTTAAAATTGCAAAAACGACATTATTTTCCGGTTCACCTAATAGTACAAAATCCTTCAAGAGCACCACAGTCACAAAGGAAACAATGCCTAAAAAGAATGTCTATGATACAAGATTATTTAACGCCAACCACGAAGAATACATTTTAAATTCTAAACGCGAACTGCGAACGCGATCTGATCGGGTCTCAAACTGGCTTAAAAGTGCGCGAAGCCAGAGGCCATGACTTCTCATGTTCCTATCCCCCTCCATTTCTTTTTGTCATCCTATTCCTGAGTCTCTGTCCCTTTCTGCTCTTCGTACATCCACTATCCAGAGATAACCCGAGGCAATTGAATCCTCCGTGCAAACAGCAATACGTATCTTACGTCGTACGAAATCTCAACGTCGTTTATTTTCTCCATTTTGCTTCTCGTCCGATTATACCTTCGAGAGCATGAATCTTCAGCCCCCAACCTCCAGACCGTCCCACATTTCTGCGTTATAGAAACTCTTGGGCTTAATGGTAATATTAATCTTCCTTTTTGTTCGAGTTTCCGGGCGGCGCTCAGGTATTTTCTAGCATCGTCTAGACTTTACTTTACCCAACCCCCCTCCCTTGCAACGCTCCAACGGATTCTTTCTTTCAACTAATTCCGGATGCAGGGCCGCGAGCCGTACGTGCCTCCCAGCATCGCGGAATTATTCACGGTATCATGTAAGATGTAATCACGTAACGTAGCTACCGACGAAACGATTTCGTTCCTCCTGTTTTTACCCGGTTTCCACGCCGCGAGGAAATTGCCTGCGCCGAAGGAATAAACTTCTTTCATCCCTTATCTCCCCCTCCGGCCCATCCCTTTTCCCGTCCATTTGCTCGCGAATACAGGGCAAATAGAATGCGCGGGCCGATAGTTAATTACCGCACACTTCGAGACCATTGTTGCCCCTTCAGACTTGCCAAGTTGTCGAATTTCAACCTTGAAGCACCAGCCTCGTCCTGGGTAATCGTACCCTTCGGTTTGACGGGATCGATGCTGTTTGGACGACGGAAGGATGTTGGTTGAAATAGTTTGAGGGATGACTGTGTTGGATGAACCTTGAAATGTATTCGTAGCAATGAAAGTGGAACGTGAAAGTGGAAAGTAAACATAATGGAAGATGGTAACGTTTTAAAATACACCACGTGTCGTTGTGTATTTTAAAACGTGAAAAAGAAAATGGAGCTACGATATGAAGAGGTGCAAGATACAATATGAAATTTTTGAAGGTCAACTAAGGTCATTTATGAAGGAGTGCGTCTATAGAAGTCTGTTTATGTTAGATGATCAGTAACGATTTCATAATACACGATCTCAGAAATGAAGAAAAAAAATGAATGTATATAAAGGCTGGAGCAAGCTACGGTACGAAGCTTTCCAAGGTCAACAGTTTAATCCACCAAGTAATTTCCATGTGACCCTCGGCACACCTTCTATCAGCTCATTCCACGTCAAGAAAAAATTGCTAACCAAGAATCTCCATCGATCACATGGTCGAAGAGTCCCAAAGCGACAAAATTTGAATGCAAAGTTGCTTCCACTTGGGATTATCAAGCCTCGACTGCATCGTTTATTGCGATTTACTCTGCACACCCTGTAAAATCCTAGGGTAACGAGAACCTTCCATCTCCAGGCTCAAAATCCCGATCACGGGAAACGGACGACATGCTTTATCTTTGTCGCGCGAGACCGTTGTAACAACGCCGGCCGTTAATACAAATCGCGTGCACCGACGTCCTCCATGTGCCTTATCACGAATCGGAAATCAATCGCTCATGGCGAGCTCATCCTTTACGAGGGTGAAGGGGAGGTGGTAGCGTAACAACCTTTACTCGGGGCGCAACGGTAACGAGGAGCGTGTAATCATCAGTCCAATGAGTCGACGAACACAAGGGGATGGTTATTTCGTGCCCTTAGACGGCTGGTTGCTTTCGTTACCCTCGGATAAGTAACGTCGAACTTGCGCCCTTACGGTGCGTCTTTGACGTCGCCGTTCGCATCCGCGGTTTTACCCGATTACACCGCATTATGGGGCCGTTTACATGGACCCTGTTTGTATCGTGGCCATCGCAAATATTCGCGAGATAATCGACGCTGGTTTCAACAGGGGGATGAAAAGGTTGGAGGAAGAAGGCTTGGAACCCTGTGGCCGGAAACTGCGGGTAATTAATGGGTCGTAATAACTCATACGGTTGCGTTCGTTAAATATTGTCGTCTATGAAGAGTGGATTTTCGGTCTCGAAAAATCATCGACCCTCGTTTAACCCTCTGTGAGCCGAATTTCTTTTGCAGGTAACTTGTGACGCATATGATCTAATATTTCAGGTTGATGGTGCTGGCAACCATTCATGATATTATACAGGGTGTTCAGGCTATTACTAGCCAGCATTTCTCTTGTAAATGGTACATATGACAAAAAAATGAAAGAGAAAAAAGTGATACTGTTGTTTATGTGCATTGTAACCAGATATATAGATCTTTCGTATTTGTACTATTTTCTGAGAAATGAAGGCGACCTTCAGTTTTTTAAATGGAATGGTATATTTTTTGTACAAAAATATGGTAGAGCATCGAATCCTAAATAAAAAAGTATTGACCTTTATTAACCCTAAATCTCATAGGTATCGAGTAATTTAACTTTATCACTTGAAAATGTTCTTAACACTTTGTTTACCGGGAGCCTATTTATAGGCTTTTCAATTCCAGTATTTAGCTTTTTGAATTTATTTACTGTGTTGGTGGTTGTCTACTTACAGTAATCAATGTTTGTAAACAGACATGGCTTTCAACGTACCCAGTAACAGTATGGAGGAATTATTGTCAGCCTAGATTGGCATATGCTACTGTAGAAAATTCTTTTTAAATTAAAGACTGTTTCTAAATAGCCTGGTAGATAAAGTGTTAACGTAATATCAAGATGGGGATTGAAACAAGTGTACTACGAATTCTTCGTAAAGAAAAACATCATCCCTGTCATCTAGCACTTCATCAGGAGCTCCATGCTTGTACACATCACTGTCCTGCGGAAATCTGTGACAAGGTTGAATCTCCATCTTTATATTACGTTAAGAAAATTTTCAATTAATAAAATGAAATGACTCGTTACCTATGAGGTTTAAGACTAATAAAGGTCACTTTTTTATTTAGAATTCGATACTCTATCATATTTTTGTATAAAAAATATACCATTCCATTTAAAAAACTGAAGGTCACCTTCATTTCTCAGAAAAGAGTATAAGTACGAAAGATTTATCTACCTGGATACATTGCACATAAAAAACAGTATCACTTTTTCCTCTTTCAAAAGATTGAAATTATTTGGAAAAATGTTTGATGTATTAGCCTGTGACCTGAAAGTTACATGAATTCATAGAGGGTTAATGATAAATGAGATTGCTTTGCAGGTCAGCCACTCGTTGTTGGTATAATCGTTTATCTTACACAATTTTTCTTATTAATACATTCTTCCTGAAATATTCAACTATGTAATTCAGCGAAGCGATTACCCTCGGTTAATAATAATGCTGGCCTCAATGCTGAGGAATGCTACAGCTAAAGCGTAGAAAAATTTACCAGAGAATTCCTTTAAATCGGAACTCGTACGAACGGAACCCGTATAATGTGTAATCAAAACAAAAGAAAATGAAAAATGGAACACTTCCGAAGCAAGTCGTGAAACAGTTGAGAAACCGTTCAATGGACAATCCAGGATTAAGCGCAGTCTAAAGGAATTCTTTCAGGCGGGAACCCGTACAATTGCTAAACTTCGATTGGCAACCCCTACAGCTAGGAATCCATAGAGTCTACAGTTCATGGAGTTACGAGGTGATCGGAAGTTTGCGTTACTCGATATTTGCATAGTTAGCGGACTTGATGGACAAATAGGTTCTCCATAACATCAGGTCAATATCAGAAACAAGAAGGAAATTAGAGGTGGAGTTCTGGAACAAAAACTCGACCTTTCCCCGGATTACTGACACTGTCAAGGTCGGATATCCTTTCAGTTATCCGGGGATTGCTGTATTTGGTTAAGGGGCGAGTCTGGTCCAGCTAATGTATTTTTCTAATGCATATAATTTCCAGATATAATTAATTTTTGTTATTGAAACTTGTTTTACATAGCTCGCATAGCTCATCGAATTTTTATCCGATTCACTTGATTCAACGCTTAAATTGAAGGTAATTAAGTTTATATGCTCATAAACCTCGACTCTTAATGAATTATTAGTATAGCATAAAGTTATTGCAAAATAACGGCCGACATGTATCGTTCATTTTCATGTTTTTTGCCGCCATTTTTACAATTAACAATTTTTTTTTGCAAATTGAGGTTCATACGCATTTTACGTACCTACTAAAGAAAGAATTTTCTGATTTTACCCATCAGATGTTTTCCCAGAGCTCCACGTATCCCACTGTTTTCACCGAATCCTTTCCTTGCGACTACAATATCTATATATGTATACATTCAAATTAAATCTACACTGTCAAATTTTCTTCTTTGAACGTCCCTTTATATGTAAAAAAAGTTTCAATAACAAAAATTAATTATATCTGGAAATTATATGCATTAGAAAAATACATTAACTGGACCAGACTCCCCCCTTAATGGAGTGGAGCTTGATTCGAAGCTACATTTAATTACATTTCTATTGTACACGTTTCTATTGTAAAGTTAATTGTTATTTAGTAAAGTTCTCGTTATTTCGTTATGCCGAAACTCAAAAATATTTATGAATAAAAATTGTAATCTTCTTTATTTTTCTTTTGCAGCCAACCCCGAGGCCAGAAAAGGTTGATCGCGTGGTAATCGACGGTCACGTGATACCTAACCACGTCCTCTTCACAGCACCCACACCTGACAATGTACCCTACGAGACTCTTGCGTTCACGGACAATGTCAAGGTCACCATTAGCTTCCGCAAGGAACACGACAAAGGTAAGCCTCGTTTAAACAATAAATAAATAAATATTGATTATTTGTCGCTAAAAAATTTATTTTAGCGATAATAATGCCATCCCTATAGGCATTCTTCTACAAAACGAACATTTAAAAAAATTGAACCACTTTCGAAAACGACTGTAAACAAATAAAAACCTGGCAAGCTTCAATCTAATAGCTTAATAATCTTTCAAACATAATTGCCAATTAAACTAAAATTGTCCACCTACTGCGAAATATACATTTCGTGAATTAATGATCCAGGGATACAATGACATAGATTAAACAACATTTTTCACTCATCCTGACTTTACTTTTTACGCTCCTATTACGTACCAATACTAATCTCGCTAATTGGCAATTAGCAGTACGCTATCGTGTCATCGATCGCCATTTGATAGGGACTTTTCCGTAATTTCTTATCAGAGGCTTCAGTAAACAAATGAAGCCGAAACGCGCACGTCAGCGATATAAATTAAACAACGATACTCCCTCGACGTTGAATCAGCCTCGAAAATTGCTTAACTAAGATTTAATCTCGCTGTTTTATTTCGTAAAACAATTTCGACGACAGCACTTAGCGTTCTTTGCGCCCTGGCATAATTGAAAACAACTAGTGCGATTCCAAGCATTTTAAACAAACATGAAATTAAAAATCGAAGATAAAAATCGAGATTTTCACTTACAAAAATTCACGATCCTTAAATTACAACGAAACGAATAATTGCGAGGACCGGTAGAACGATTTTGAAAAAGGGGATACAAATAAATAATAATGATCGACACGTTTCTTGTATGAAATGCTTGAAAAGTCATTAGACTGCGGAAGTTTATGCGAATGCATATCTTTATAGGAAATAGTTAAAAGAATGGGACCCAGACAGAAATTTGTTTTGAAATTAAAGTAATATAAAAATACATTACGTATTTAAATTTAGACCAACATTGTTCCGGCACACTTATTGGTCCTTGAACTCCCTCGTTATTTAAAATATTAGATAGTTTTCGATACTGTAGAAAATCCTACATTATTTTCTAAAGTCTTTTTACATTTTTAAAAATATGTTTAAAAATATGCAATATGTTATTGCATATGTTTTTAAACATAAATATGCAAAATATGCAAAATAAAAAAGTATTTTATATATGTGTACATAGCGAATATTCTGTAACATACTAATATATTACTTATTATACTACTTTTATTTAAATTTTTCGTGCATATTTTTCGTGCATATTTTGAATATTTTTAATGCACATTTTGCATATGCCTGTTACATATTTATCGTGCATAAACTTCAGCAGTCTAGCCATTACATGATAGAGACGGACAAAATCTGATTCGATTAAGAAATATTTTTTTTCTATAACACCAATTTTAATTATTATCTATCTAGCGCGAATCAAAATGCATTTATCCCTTGTTCACCGTTCGAAATGATCACCCAGATAACTATTTTCCCCGTTTTCCACCCTGTAACAATTATTTTCAACTAACCAACTACGTAATTGTAAATTTTATTTTCAGTATACGTCGAGTCCAATACACTCGTGGGCGACCCTAGCCACCCCACAGGGGTTGTGTTGGCAGAAATAGTGAAGGCAAACATCCCCGTGCGCAACGGGGTGGTGCACCTGATCCAACGGCCACTTATGGTCGTCGACACCACCGTGAAGGACTTCCTTGAGGTCAGTGCTCGATCCATTCCCATTTTCTTACGTGGCAGCGGACATTTCCAATCAATTTCGCGAGAAATTGAATGGCTGTGACAATAACGCGACCTACAACCGCAACGTCATGTTCTATTCATCCGACCATCTCATCGCATCTGCGGCATTACGTTTCCCGTCGACTTGGACTCATCAAATATTTCACTGCGAATTTGCCACGCGAACGAAACGGAATCGGCGGGAACGAGCTCGAAGGGCAGCCTCTTGCGGATCGAATCCACCCAAATTTACTGCCGAGGTTAACCTCTGCATTGTTAATCCGATCAGATGCACGAAGAGTTTATGAAACGGTTACACAATTCCAACAATTGTATTTGAGAACTGGAAATAAAGAATTGGGGCGATCTTAGAAGATTTTCTAGGATCTTAAAAAGGTGTTTTGTTTAAATGAAACATCTATTGTGGTAATAATAATATCGTTGATAAATGGACACGTTTCTTACTATTCGTTTAAAAAGGCAGACAACTGATGGGAAAATACATAGGAATATTTTCATTAAAATTAAATTCTCTGTGATTTAATTTCAAAAGCACTCCTATTTAACTACTTGTGTATAGACTCTTCCAAACACCAGTCAGTCGACACGGTGTCTCGATTAATTTGAATTTTCGTTGATGATATACCAGGTGTCGTTTAAGACGTGACTGCAGATAGACACTTCAGTCTCGGGAAATACAATATTCATAAATACTTCCAGTGATTCACTGGATTGTATCAGACAATGCTTTCCTTCGACGACTCCTTCGAAATGCCAGGAACGAAGACGTTATTTAAGGTATTGTATCTACAGACCCCTAGTAGACGACTGCGAGCGAAGAAACGGACAGCGAGTTTCTCCATTGTTAGGAAACGTTATTTCACGGATTCCTTTTGATATCTGTATGAAACGCTTTTAAACTGCCTCTGGTCGAAACGCCCCGGTATTCTTCGCGTATCCTCCCTTCTCGCGTCTCAGAAGCTCCCGATCACAATGGATTTGGCTTTGTTCAAAATAGCTCGCGGCTTTCTCGCGGCGTTCAGACGTTGAAAGTTTAATCTATCGATAATTTAGCCTCTCCGACAGCATAATTCACCTTCTTGTGACGCTCCCTGTTGTATAGCTTCGAGAATTCAACACTGGAATCGATAGAAGGTTACAATTGCGAAGGGCATGATTTTGGTTCCATAAGTGTCGCGACGAGTAGTTGTCGTTTTAATAGAGTTACTCTGGATTTTCATGGATGTTCATTGAGTTGAGTTGAGTTGAGTTGAGTCCACTCGATCGAGACTGAGTTGTCTCAGCCAGGTGGACTTTCTTTGTGGAGCAACGTTCCTTCGGCTACTCAAGTCCTTATTTTATGGAAGTACGATGCAGTCAAGTCAACTTCAAAATTGTTATAGCGAAGAGAAAACTCTGAAATGAAATGGCAAAAAGCTTTATTTTTCAATGACTTTCAATTCCAAGAGCTGATGGGAAACAAACCTCAGGGTCTCAACCTGTTGAACAAAATTTGTCCCATCGCAATATGCATTGCCCTCCAAACCAGCGATGGGCAAAATCGTAATCGTAAATACGAATACGATTACGATTGTAATCGCATCTTTCCGAGTTGTGATTACGAATACGATTACGATTGTAATCGCATCTTTCCGAGTTGTGATTACGAATACGATTACGATTGTAATCGCATCTTTCCGAGTTGTGATTACGAATACGATTACGACCGTATTTTTAAAGGTTTACAGCCATTGAAATTCTTTACCTCAAAACCGACTTTAGATTCGTGTTCCTCGCCCCAAAAAACTTTGTAAACCATACATTCGTCGAAATGAAAAATGAACAATTTTCAATTAAAATTCGTGCCCATAGAGCAGAGCCTAGATAGGGTAACTTTAAAAAATTTTTTTATTTTGACGAAAGCATGGTTTTCTTAGTTTTCTAATGTGAAGAACACGAATCTGATGTCGGTTTTGAGGTAAAAAATGTCTATGGCTGAAAACCTCTAAGAATACGATTACAATCGTAATCGCGGAAAAATTTACGATTATGATTGTAATCGTATTCGTAATCACAACTCGGAAAGATGCGATTACAATCGTAATCATAATCACAACTCGAAAACATTCGATTACAATCGTATTCGTATTCGCGATTACGATTTAGCCCATCACTGATCCAAACCCCCTTGAACTATTGCACAGATTTCACTCTCACTCTACTCTTTAACATTTTCGCTGCGGATGACGCACATGTGCGTCCAACTGAGCCCTTGCCATGTGCGGATGACGCACATGCGCGTCCTTTGCTTTTTTAGACGGTTTAGTCGTATTTAGACAGTCAGTACGATCTGAGCATTCATGTTGGTCTGTTCTTTTGTATTTAATGTTGTGGTTAGACTTGTTGTTCAGCAATCATATTACATATAATAAAAGTTACCACAAATATATGTTTTTCAAAATATTCATATTAGAACATTTGTAAGAAATCTTTCATTAAAAAAAATATCATAATTGCAGCTCCCAGCGAACGGCTACTTATTTTCGTCCGCAGCCAAAGTGTTAATTCGCATCTCTGTTCCTTCAACCGCGATTAACATTATCAAGATGGCGCAGAAACCAAATTCAGTGACGCTCGGTACGATATACTCGTGTTATTCAATGCGACTGTTTTTATATATATCGATCCCAAGATGCTCCACTTTTCCAGTGACGCCTATTGCGAATTCAGACCACGAGATGCATTAGAGGAACATTAGCATTCGCTGTTCCGTCGCGTGTACGCGCGCCCTGAACGTGACGTGCCGCTCGGAACGATGCCACTGACGTCAAAGGATCTCGCTGTCATATAGATACGATGTAATACAACGCGAACGCGTAATCACTGCCAGTTGCGAGGATTGTGTACATATATTTTGACACATGTTACGTGGCCCCGAGAACCACATCAGTCAAACCGAATGGGGTAATCGTTATTGCGCGAAATTTGATGGACTGGTGCCCTGAAATCATAGCTCGCACACCGTACCGCCCATCCGCCATTGTTAGCCTAACGCTGTCTAGCTATTCGCCGCACGAAAGCTTGTTAACAGGACCACTTTGATCATTTCAGATCAAACGATCGATTTATTTTGCGTTTTATTCAGGATTGGAATCTCGGAAGCATTATACAGAGAAGGATTGGAAAATTATGAATGCTGGATGCCAGCACGTGGCGACCACACGAACTGGTGGCGTCATAGGGAAAGGCAAAGGTTTAGAGGGGAGACGGTAATATTTGTAATAGGAATAGAGGTTATTAGTTTCAAAGTTAGTTGAATTAGAGCTGAATAGTTGTATATTTCGAAAGTTGTATATTAATATTAAATTCTCGAACGTAAATCGTAGGTTAAGGGCTTAAGTATTCTGCATTATCGACACCTACCTATACAATACTCTGTCGTACCAACGAAGTATTCTACATTATCAAGCCCTAGCGACAAAGTATTCTACCTTACCCACCAAGTGTTCTACATTATCGAGTCCTAGCGACAGAGTACTTATCTCTCGGTGTCGTATCTCTTATTCTCTACAAGAGTTCAAAACATCACTGCTGTTCATTTCTCTCACTGCTTAGTATTGTCTTCCCCAAAACGAATAGCAAACACATCTCTACAAAGCCAGATCAAAATGAACTGAATTCCGATACCCTTGTTCCTCGAGTCTCAACTCGATCGGCATTCAACAGCGCTTTATTTTTCACTCAGTGAACTGTCTCGAAAGACCCAAAGTTCACGGAAACGGTTGAAATCGACTTCTACTTATCTTCCCGAGCCCAAGTGCTCCGCCATGCGGCATTGAGACCATCCAGGGCCTCTTCAAGTCGAAGATAAGCGAGGGAAACGAAACGGAAACGGGGAAAAGAGCGTAAGCTCGTAAAGATTCTATCCACCAGGCGCCGTGACGCCCAATGGTGTATCGTACCGATTCTAATCGCGAAGGGGACGCTCGTCGTCGCGCCAGACGAAGGGTGCACGATAATGCGAGCGTCGGTTGTACGCTGGCTCGGCGGTTAGCCAATTTCATTAACACTAACGGTTTATTCGCTGGGTAATCCGTTTCCCTCTTCCCTTTCGTCATTGGTTCCCTCAGCCAGCGAACTCCAGGTCGTGTGTACCTTTGTACTTCCTTCCTAAATCGGATTAGAGTCTCGTCTCGCGCCTCGTGCACGTTGTAAAAACGAGTTAATAGCGAGGACGAGCCAACGTCTATTCCGCTTTTTTGATCTATGGATTCCCCTGCCACCAGAGCAGGGATGAATCCTGCATGAAACTAATGGAGCTTAAACTTCGAGTAGAAGGAAGATACTCGTTGAGCCTTGTACTTTTGCTGTCGTAAATACAGTCTGTCTCATAAGAGTGTGTCGGCTATATTTCTATGAATGTTTATATATTTGTACAGAATGTTATATAGGTCGAATCTACACCTAACGCACTAATACGCATTTACCTAGTAAGGTGTCCAATCTCCTCCATTAGCAATTATAGCTTGGCTCCGTTTCGGTATGTTTTCTATTAATTTTTTGGGGTAAGATGCTAGAAACGGCCTCCATATCTTTTCAATATGGTGTACAATTGCTCTTATTTTGATGATACCCATTCTTCTTAGTTTGTACTTCATTATGGACCATACATTATACCATCGTTATCACCATAGTATGGTAATAGCGTCTTCCTCTTTCCATCTTTTACAGACTCGACTTCGATGTTTAGGGTCGTTGTCTTCTTGCAATATCCACTGGTCGTTGGTTTGATTGAACCAACATTTCATGGATGTGAGAAGTCCCCTTTGATATAATTTCAGCATTGTTTGTGCATTGAGATTGTGAGCGAAGATACGTAAAGTCCCGAAGCCTCTTGCGATAAATCAACTCCAAATATGCACTTTTATGAGGTATTTCGCACTTCTTTGTATTATTCTTTTTCCACAGACAGACCAAGCA